CCCCAAGAGTGAAGAGCAGCGATGAACCTCGAGGTAGACCAACAACCCAGCTTCCCTGACCTCTCCTTGGCAAGCTTCGACGAGCATGCTGATAGAGCAGATGCTTCATCTTTCCGGGACGTGTCCAGGAGGGTCCAAGCAGAGATCAAGTATCAAGATAGAGCGAGCCACTCCAAAGCGATCCTTCCGCTATCCGAGGAAGGCCGACGGGAGCTTTACGGCTGCCCGTCAAGAAGCAAACAACTGGAGGCGCTTGTGCATTCAATCAGATTGATTGAAGACAAAGACCGACCTGAGGTCATCTCAGCGACTGGCGAAGGCCTAGTCTTGTAGACTCGAAAGACACTCATGTAGATTAGAACAAACATTAACGCAATGAAAACGTATAATCGTGGAGATGCTCGAAGCGATATCCTGCCCGGCCAGTTTCTGGCAGAGAGCAGCTCTACACGTAGTCTACACTGCTAGTCTACATCGAGAGAGACACAATGACAGGCTCTCAAGCAAAAGTCTCTCTCATCAACTCTCAACATGTGATGATGCTTGACGATCTATCACATGATGATTGCAACACATACATACAGATCCAACCACACACGCCTTGGAGTGCAATCCTGTGATGCGAAGGAGGTAGGCGAGACCTCATCTCGCTCAGCAAGCTCCAGCACCAACAGCATGCAAGCACATCCTACCCAAACAATGACAGTGAGTGTGATGATGCAAGATTCGCCCCCCTCCTCCTGTCCTGATCCCCATCTTCCAGCACCTACAAGCCTCCTCGCGCCAGTGCCGACTCCCTCCTCGTCTCTTTCCTCCTTCTTCTATTGACTCTCCGCCCCACGCTCTTGCTCCTTCTTCCTCTTCCTCTTCCTCTCTTCCTCCCCTTCCCCCGCTCACTCCGCCAGGACGCGCGAGGCGACTGAGGTCATGTGGTGCGGTTTATTACTCTACATGGCTGCCTAGTGTACATGGCGACGCCTGCCTAGACGACGCCGACGCGCCTGACCCTGAAGGTCTGGTTGAAGTGCGGCTGCTGCAGCCTCCGCCTGTCGAAGCCGCCATGGCTCCTCGCCCGCTCGGCGTCCGGGCGGGGGGCCGACGGGAGCCGGAGACAAGAGCCCAGAGCGTCGGGGGAGTCGATGCCGTCGTCTTGCAGGAGCCAGGCGACCCCCCGGACCACAGCGCCGGCCAGCCCCGCCAGCATGCCCACCGCCAGCACAAGGTAGACGCGAAGCAGCGGGGCCGTCTGGGGCGGGAGGGGAGGGACGAGGGGGACGAGGGAGGCTTGCCAGTCGTGGGAGGAGGAAGACATGACGGGGCGAGGGCTCAGGAGAGGGCGGGGGGTACTGGGTGGAGGACGAGAGGGGAGGGGGGCAGGTGTGGAGGAGGGAGGCGGAGCGAAGGCTCTTGTAAGGGGCAACGAGCCCCCCCGCCGGTCATGCGGGTGAGGCACGTCGGGGAGTGACTGAGAAACGCAAACGGATGGATGGGACTGAAGCAGGGGGACGGGCTTACGCATCGGATGGCGGGCAGGCGAAGGAGTTGCTGACAAGATCATGCCATGGTCATGCCTTCGACTGATCGAATAGAAGACCATGGAAGATCATTCGCATCGGATCGAAGAGCTCGATGACCGGGGAGGTCACGGATGCCGTTGAGGATTGCAGCGCCTCCCGGAAAGCAGCTCCCTTGGCTTCCTCGCACGTCAACGCCGACTCAAGATCGCATCGTATCGATGGGGCGGCCATGACCTTTACATTGTCGAAGCATGACTTTATTCCTACTCGGTACGTGACTCCATGAGTTGAAATCGATTACTCCACAACCTGTCGATCTAGGTAAAGAACGCATCCTCTCGCTGCTTTATCAGGACGGGATGAGAAGAGAGACTGCAACCCAACCCCCCGCCTCTCTCCCCAGCACGAGTCAGTCTCCTTGTGCTTCATCTCCCCGCCCAGCAGCCGGCCGACACTCAAAGCATCTTCCCTGTCAAGCTACTCCCCCAAGAGTGAAGAGCAGCGATGAACCTCGAGGTAGACCATCCACCCAGCTTCCCTGACCTCTCCTTGGCAAGCTTCGACGAGCATGCTGATGGAGCAGATGCTTCATCTTTCCGGGACGTGTCCAGGAGGGTCCAAGCAGAGATCAGGTATCAAGATAGAGCGAGCCACTCCAAAGCGATCCTTCCGCTATCCGAGCAAGGCCGACGGGAGCTTTACGGCTGCCCGTCAAGAAGCAAACAACTGGAGGCGCTTGTGCATTCAATCAGATTGATTGAAGACAAAGACCGACCTGAGGTCATCTCAGCGACTGGCGAAGGCCTAGTCTTGTAGACTCGAAAGACACTCATGTAGATTAGAGCAAACATTAACGCAATGAAAACATATAATCGTGGAGATGCTCGAAGCGATATCCTGCCCGGCCAGTTTCTGGCAGAGAGCAGCTCTACACGTAGTCTACACTGCTGCTAGTCTACATCGAGAGAGACACAATGACCGGCTCTCAAGCAAAAGTCTCTCTCATCAACTCTCAACATGTGATGATGCTTGACGATCTATCACATGATGATTGCAGCACATGCATACAGATCCAACCATACACGCCTTGGAGTGCAATCCTGTGATGCGAAGGAGGTAGGCGAGACCTCATCTCGCTCAGCAAGCTCCAGCACCAACAGCATGCAAGCACATCCTACCCAACACCACGATGCACCCATGACAGTGAGTGTGATGATGCAAGATTCGCCCCCCTCCTCCTGTCCTGATCCCCATCTTCCAGCACCTACAAGCCTCCTCGCGCCAGTGCCGACTCCCTCCTCGTCTCTTTCCTCCTTCTTCTATTGACTCTCCGCCCCACGCTCTTGCCCCTCCCTTCTCTTGCTCCTCCTCTCTTCCTCCCCTTCCCCCGCTGACTCCGCCAGGACGCGCGAGGCGACTGAGGTCATGTGGTGCGGTTTATTACTCTACATGGCTGCCTAGTGTACATGGCGACGCCTGCCTAGACGACGCCGACGCGCCTGACCCTGAAGGTCTGGTTGAAGTGCGGCTGCTGCAGCCTCCGCCTGTCGAAGCCGCCATGGCTCCTCGCCCGCTCGGCGTCCGGGCGGGGGGCCGACGGGAGCCGGAGACAAGAGTCCAGAGCGTCGGGGGAGTCGATGCCGTCGTCTTGCAGGAGCCAGGCGACTCCCTGCGCGAGAGCGCCGGCCAGCCCCGCCAGCATGCCCACCGCCAGCACAAGGTAGACGCGAAGCAGCGGGGCCGTCTGGGGCGGGAGGGGAGGGACGAGGGGGACGAGGGAGGCTTGCCAGTCGTGGGAGGAGGAAGACATGACGGGGCGAGGGCTCAGGAGAGGGCGGGGGGTACTGGGTGGAGGACGAGAGGGGAGGGGGGCAGGTGTGGAGGAGGGAGGCGGAGCGAAGGCTCTTGTAAGGGGCAACGAGCCCCCCCGCCGGTCATGCGGGTGAGGCACGTCGGGGAGTGACGCAGAAACGCAAAAGGATGGATGGGACTGAAGCAGGGGGACGGGCTTACGCATCGGATGGCGGGCAGGCGAAGGAGTTGCTGACAAGATCATGCCATGGTCATGCCTTCGACTGATCGAATAGAATCATTCGCATCGGATCGAAGAGCTCGATGACCGGGGAGGTCACGGATGCCGTTGAGGATTGCAGCGCCTCCCGGAAAGCAGCTCCCTTGGCTTCCTCGCACGTCAACGCCGACTCAAGATCGCATCGTATCGATGGGACGGCCATGACCTTTACATTGTCGAAGCATGACTTTATTCCTACTCGGTACGTGACTCCATGAGTTGAAATCGATTACTCCACAACCTGTCGATCTAGGTAAAGAACGCATCCTCTCGCTGCTTTATCAGGACGGGATGAGAAGAGAGACTGCAACCCAACCCCCCGCCTCTCTCCCCAGCACGAGTCAGTCTCCTTGTGCTTCATCTCCCCGCCCAGCAGCCGGCCGACACTCAAAGCATCTTCCCTGTCAAGCTACTCCCCCAAGAGTGAAGAGCAGCGATGAACCTCGAGGTAGACCATCCACCCAGCTTCCCTGACCTCTCCTTGGCAAGCTTCGACGAGCATGCTGATGGAGCAGATGCTTCATCTTTCCGGGACGTGTCCAGGAGGGTCCAAGCAGAGATCAGGTATCAAGATAGAGCGAGCCACTCCAAAGCGATCCTTCCGCTATCCGAGGAAGGCCGACGGGAGCTTTACGGCTGCCCGTCAAGAAGCAAACAACTGGAGGCGCTTGTGCATTCAATCAGATTGATTGAAGACAAAGACCGACCTGAGGTCATCTCAGCGACTGGCGAAGGCCTAGTCTTGTAGACTCGAAAGACACTCATGTAGATTAGAGCAAACATTAACGCAATGAAAACATATAATCGTGGAGATGCTCGAAGCGATATCCTGCCCGGCCAGTTTCTGGCAGAGAGCAGCTCTACACGTAGTCTACACTGCTGCTAGTCTACATCGAGAGAGACACAATGACCGGCTCTCAAGCAAAAGTCTCTCTCATCAACTCTCAACATGTGATGATGCTTGACGATCTATCACATGATGATTGCAGCACATGCATACAGATCCAACCATACACGCCTTGGAGTGCAATCCTGTGATGCGAAGGAGGTAGGCGAGACCTCATCTCGCTCAGCAAGCTCCAGCACCAACAGCATGCAAGCACATCCTACCCAACACCACGATGCACCCATGACAGTGAGTGTGATGATGCAAGATTCGCCCCCCTCCTCCTGTCCTGATCCCCATCTTCCAGCACCTACAAGCCTCCTCGCGCCAGTGCCGACTCCCTCCTCGTCTCTTTCCTCCTTCTTCTATTGACTCTCCGCCCCACGCTCTTGCCCCTCCCTTCTCTTGCTCCTCCTCTCTTCCTCCCCTTCCCCCGCTGACTCCGCCAGGACGCGCGAGGCGACTGAGGTCATGTGGTGCGGTTTATTACTCTACATGGCTGCCTAGTGTACATGGCGACGCCTGCCTAGACGACGCCGACGCGCCTGACCCTGAAGGTCTGGTTGAAGTGCGGCTGCTGCAGCCTCCGCCTGTCGAAGCCGCCATGGCTCCTCGCCCGCTCGGCGTCCGGGCGGGGGGCCGACGGGAGCCGGAGACAAGAGTCCAGAGCGTCGGGGGAGTCGATGCCGTCGTCTTGCAGGAGCCAGGCGACTCCCTGCGCGAGAGCGCCGGCCAGCCCCGCCAGCATGCCCACCGCCAGCACAAGGTAGACGCGAAGCAGCGGGGCCGTCTGGGGCGGGAGGGGAGGGACGAGGGGGACGAGGGAGGCTTGCCAGTCGTGGGAGGAGGAAGACATGACGGGGCGAGGGCTCAGGAGAGGGCGGGGGGTACTGGGAGGAGGACGAGAGGGGAGGGGGGCAGGTGCGGAGGATTGAGCGCGAGGCGGAGCGAAGGCTCTTGTAAGGGGCAACGAGGTGGAGGCAGGTCGGGAAGTGACTGAGAATCGCAACGGTTGGATGGGACTGAAGCAGGGGGACGGGCTTACGCATCGGATGGCGGGCAGGCGGAGGAGCTGCTGACAAGATCATGCCATGGTCATGCCTTCGACTGATCGAATAGAAGACCATGGAAGATCATTCGCATCGGATCGAAGAGCTCGATGACCGGGGAGGTCACGGATGCCGTTGAGGATTGCAGCGCCTCCCGGAAAGCAGCTCCCTTGGCTTCCTCGCACGTCAACGCCGACTCAAGATCGCATCGTATCGATGGGGCGGCCATGACCTTTACATTGTCGAAGCATGACTTTATTCCTACTCGGTACGTGACTCCATGAGTTGAAACCGATTACTACACAACCTGTCGATCTAGGCAAAGAACGCACCCTCTTGCTGCTTTATCAGGACGGGATGAGAAGAGATACTGCAACCCAACCCCCCGCCTCTCTCCCCAGCACGAGTCAGTCTCCTTGTGCTTCATCTCCCCGCCCAGCAGCCGGCCGACACTCAAAGCATCTTCCCTGTCAAGCTACTCCCCCAAGAGTGAAGAGCAGCGATGAACCTCGAGGTAGACCAACAACCCAGCTTCCCTGACCTCTCCTTGGCAAGCTTCGACGAGCATGCTGATAGAGCAGATGCTTCATCTTTCCGGGACGTGTCCAGGAGGGTCCAAGCAGAGATCAAGTATCAAGATAGAGCGAGCCACTCCAAAGCGATCCTTCCGCTATCCGAGGAAGGCCGACGGGAGCTTTACGGCTGCCCGTCAAGAAGCAAACAACTGGAGGCGCTTGTGCATTCAATCAGATTGATTGAAGACAAAGACCGACCTGAGGTCATCTCAGCGACTGGCGAAGGCCTAGTCTTGTAGACTCGAAAGACACTCATGTAGATTAGAGCAAACATTAACGCAATAAAAACGTATAATCGTGGAGATGCTCGAAGCGATATCCTGCCCGGCCACCTTCTGTCTCTTACAGCCAAGTTTGACTGATTGATACATTCCCGGTTCAGGTCCATGGTGTCAAAACACTATGAGACTTCCAAGTATTCGTACAACAATCAAAACTGCGGCTGTCAACAGTGATGCAGCTGTAGAATGCGGGAATCTTGCTCGAGTTGCAGTTGGCAGCTACATAGCAGCCTATCATCGAGTCTAGAGCCCAAACAAACTCACCCGTCTTACTCTCATCTATTCACTAAAGTTGACTCATCACCCTTCCTCGCTCCTCTCCTTCATTCTCTCAGCGTCGTCTCCTCTCCTCCTCCTCCCCTCTCCTCCTCCCCTCTCCTCCCTCGGCTGCTCACGCCTCCTTCTCCTCCATCTGAATGGTCTTGGTCGAGGCCGCGAGCGCGTCGGCCGCCTTTCCCTGCAGCTTGTGGGACATGTGCAGCAGGTGCATCGCCCTCAGCTGCTCCCTCTTCGCCTCCGTCTGCTTGTGCGTCACCTGCTGGGGGGTCACTGGACCCTCTCGCCTCCTTCTCCCTCACCGCAGCCTCCTCCTCCTTGAGCCGCTCCTGCACCTTCACGAGGTCTGACTTGGTCGCCGCCTCCTCTGCCAGCAGGGAGGGTCTTGACAGCTGCTTCTCCTCCTTGAGCAGGCGGTCCACCGCCGACTGCTCCTGCTTGAGGTCTCAGCGGAGGCTCAGAGGGCTCAGAGGACGACGAGTTACCTTGCTCGCACCGGCAACGTCCTGGTCCCTCAGCTTTCGGTCCACCGCCACGTCCCTCCGCTCCTTAGCAACCATCTGTTTCAGCATCGCCACGTACTCCTGCGCCCCGTAAGCTCCGACGTCAGTCGGGCAGGCGAGCAGACCTGGCCGAGACGAGCCTTGGAACGCGCGTCTAGCGCCTTCCTGGTGTCGACCGAGGACGCTCTCTTGAGCTTGTTGGCCTTCTGGAAGTCGTCGGCCGCCGTCTCCTCGGAGGCCTGGTCCTTGAACGAGGACTCCGACGACAGGCGCAGCTGCTGCGATCGCTTCAACGACTTCTCCGCCTCGTCCGCAAAGGTATCGGCCTGATGCAGCAGCCTTGCCACGTTCTTCTCCTGCGCCTGATGCCGCCGCTGGTCCCGGAGCAGGTCACTGCGAGTAGAGGCGAGGAGCTGCTTGGAGGCATCGAGCTTCTTCTGCCTCTCTTGCAGGACAGACTTTAGCTTCGCGATCTCCTTCTTGAGCACTTCCACCTGCCGCCATGTCATCCCGCCTCCTCCCCTGCTCAGCCGCATGTTCGCTCTCACGTGCAGCAGCTTCCTCTTGTCCTCCTTGATGTTCTCCTTATCCATCCTCATCTCCTCGCTCAGCGACGCCTCCTCCCTCGCCATCTGCCCCACCCAGTGCGTCGTGATCCCAACGTCCTTGAGCAGCTCCTCTGCCTTGTCGTAGTCGATGTTGGCCTGCAGCTCGTCAGTGATCTCCTCCTCCTCCTCCTCCTCCTCCTCCTCCTCCTCCTCCTCCTCCTCCTCCTCCTCCTCTTCCTGCTAGACCCAGCACCTGCTTCCTCAGCGCCCTTGCTCGCTCGTCCTCGATCTTTGCTTTCTTCTTCAGCTCGTTGGACGTCCTTTCTATCGCAAGCACCCTCCCTCGGTTCCCCTGCTCCAGCAGCACCAGCCCCTGCCATGCCATCTCTCGTCAGCGTGACAGGAGGAGCAGGACGGAAGACTCGCCTGCCCCAGGTCTTGCCTTGAACCCACTAGAGCGCATCCCCCACCAGCAGCACCAAGGCCGACAGCAGCGCGAGCATGCCACGACTGGATCTCTTGGATTCATCGGCAGCTGCCTGTTGGTACATCTTGTGTGTGTCGAGGAGGCGAGCAGTGCTAGTCTCGTCTGATTCCCTCAGACATCCTTAGTGACCCTGACGTCAACGTGTTTAGCATATTGACAGTCATCACGTACACGACAACAGCACAGTCAGAGGTAAATGCCTGCCTTCCCATCCTCATGATCAATCCAGACTGCCACGATTCTTGATAATCGCAAAAGATTCCTTCATGCACTTCTCTTGGCCTTGCCAATCCCCTTGTGATCAGAGTCGAGCAGAGCTGATCATACTCGACCTCGATCTCAATCTTTGTAATGCATTTCCCTCTCCTGCCCTTCTCTCTGCGTTGACCTGTTTCTCCCTCTCACTTCGACTCTGCCATCTTCTCTCCTCTCCTCTCCTCTCCTCTCCTCTCCTCTCCTCTCCTCCTCTCCCTTCTCCGTTTCTCGTCACTGTATTGTCACCATTCTGATTGCGTTCATCCAATTTTCGCTCTCGTCATCACCCCTACCCTACCCCTCATGTCAGGTACCTCCTATTGTCCTTTGAATCCATAGGATTATAGGGGGTACTGTGACTACCCTACCCTCCTTTGCGAAAGTCACGCATACCCCTACTTCTGGCCTAGGAGTACCCCCACCTTTCGAGTCCCGCGACTCTTCATGGCGACGACGATGGGAAACTGGTAAATGGCAGCTCAACAATCCCCGCCAGCACTCAGCTCCTGCTCCTGCTCCTGCTCCTCCTCCTGCTGCTGCTCCTCCTCCTGCTGCTGCTGCCCCTGCTCCTGCACCTGCTCCTGCTCCTGCTCCTGCTCCTGCTCCTCCTC